AATGGATCGTGTAATGGACACTTGTTTTATTGACCAAATGAACCAAGGAAACAAATTGGATGGTAAATGTGCATGGAAGACGGCAGCCTACACCGCTGTAATGAATGCTTTATTCGATAAGCTCAATATATCTGTGACAAAGGCTAATATTATATCTCGTTTCAAGATATGGGAGAAACACTATGACATCCTATACCCACTGCTCCAGTCATATAACTCTGGGTCTGCGATAATATGGGACTACTCTAGAGGTAGAATTGATGTTTGTGATGAGGATGTATGGAATGCTCGAGTAAGTGAGAATCCAAAAATTGTTCTTTATAGAAAAAAAAATAGTGGTTGAAAATTGGGAGGATATATGTACATTGTTTTCACAAGATCGTGCAAATGGAGAGGGCGCCCAAACTGCTTTTGAGGGTAATGTTGATACTGAAGTTGAATAGTTTGCTAATGTAGAGGAATCATTTGAGACTGATTCACGTTCTTTAGAAGATGAAGTTATGAATGCATTGCTAGCTCGACAGTGGTCAAAATCAAAATCGTCATCTTCAACAAATGATCGTGGTACAAAGAGGAAACTAACAAGCTCTCAAGCACTTTACCAGGTGTTGGGACGAATGGCAGATTCACTGGATAAGTACTTAAATTCAGAATGTTCAAAAGTTACAACTAAAATGGTGGAAGATGAGTTATCTGAAATTGAATTGGATAGATTTCAATTGTTAAAGGGTATCGATTTACTTATGAATGACAGGACAAAGTATGACACTTTTTTTGGTCTCCGAGATGACTTAAAAAAGGATTGGCTATTGATGCACATTGGTAATTGATTTTATTTGGTAACCTCCATTTGAAGTTGTTTCTGTTGGGAGAAGAAGTTGAGCATATTGCTGGAAGCCAAGTAGAGAAAGCAGAAGCTGTTACTACTCCATCGTGTATCCACATGACTTTTTAAATTCTGATGAGTTTTTTGTTTTTCATATAATGGATCAAAACAAGATTATAGAAAGATTCTAGGAAATATTTCAGCTATTTTCTGTCTAATTTTTGAGATGATAAGAATGGGACATTGGATCTTTTGTGTGATGAACTAGCATTTTAGGTATTGAGATTAACATAGCAGCCTATGTTGATGACCTGACTTGTCCTTGAGCTGCATGAACCTATGTAGTGATCAATGCTGCTGTTTTTTTATTTTTTTTCATGCTATCCAGATGCTTGTTGAGCACATTTCACATCATATTAGAGATTGGTTAAGAAGTGTTATTTATCTATTCTGATTGGACATGCAAGTCAGAAAATGATACTTGTGTTGGCATTTAAATTTTGCTTCCAAATTTTGATGCTGGCCTTCAGCATTTTCATTCGGTTGTATTTTTAGGTCACTGGGGGAAGAGCATCTGGGAGTCTTGAGTTGCTGTAATTTCTATGTTTTTGCACTCGCTGAATGTGTATTTTAGGTATTTTTGCTGTTGAGGTTTTACACATAATTAAATCTTAAGCACATTGGTGTTGGAGTAATCAGTAATTTTTGACTATTGTGACACATTGCAGAAAATTTGAAGTATGGGGAGTGAAATGGAGACTTGGAACTTGTAGTAGTTGCAACTAACGAACTTGCAAGTTAATAAATTACAGATGAATAGGTTATGGTACATGGTTTCTGGTGCATCCCTCGAGCGACATTGGATGTTGCACAAATTGAACAATTCCTATGTACAATTGTCTTTGCCATCTGATACATGCTAGCTCCATGCGCCACAGGGAAAGTTCTAACTCTCTAAATTTTTTTTGAATTTTGTGTAAGTATTAGAAGTAAGAAAGAAATTTGCTTTATTATAATATATCAAAACACAGTTGACATACCACATTTGAGATGGGGATATATTTCTTCACAAAAAAAGGGATAATGGATCAAAACATGTTAAAGGAAATGTTCACCAAAGAAATTAATATGAGAGTGGGAAAAAATAAATTATCAAAGGCATAAATTGGTTTTTTCTTTTAAATCTTTAGTAAAAATTAGCTAAATGTAAGAAAAAAGAAATTATTATATAGAAAAATGAAAAAAAGAAAAATTATATGTAAGCAAATGTTTTTTCATGAAAACAATTCTAATTCCTAATGAATTCTTCTCTCATGCAAACAAAGAATTTGAAATTCCAAATAAATTCTGTATCAATTCTATGCATTTTCCAAACGCAAGAATTGGAATGACTTGAAATTCCAATTCATAGAATTCCAATTCTAATTCTCTAGAATCAAACGCACCCTTAGGCTACGTTTGGTTCTACAGAATTAGAATTGAATTAGAATTGAAATTCTATAGAATTGGAATTCTATGAATTGGAATTCCAAATCATTTCAATTCTTTCGTTTGGGAAATGTATAGAATTGATACGGAATTTATTTGAAATTCCAAATTCTTTGTTTGTATGAGAGAAGAATTCATTAGGAATTAGAATTGTTTTCATGAAACATTTGCTTACATAAAATTTTTCTTTTTTTTTCTTTTTTATATAATAATTTCTTTTTTTCTTACATTTAGCTAATTTTTACTAAAGATTTAAAAGAAAGAACCAATTTGTGCCTTTAATAATTTATTTTTTCCCACTCTCATATCAATTTCTTTGGTGAACATTTTCAGATGGTATAGATATTGGCATCCAACCAAAATTGGACCTCACCCCCTTAAAAGTAAATCCCCAATGACACTAGCATATTTCTTAAAACATGGTAGAATATTGGACAGTGAATTAGTCACTAATTAACTCAAATAGTACGTTTGTAAAACAATTTAATTAACATTCTCAACAAATAAATTCAGTTTACTTGACAGACAAAGGAAACAATCTCAATTACTTTCCAGAAGCAACAAAAAAGGAAGACCCCAAAGCATACAGCTCTGCTCCCCAACTAAAGACCCTACAGCAAGCTCCATGGTATGACACATCCAGCACTTAGAATGTTGGTCCATAAGTCAATACCTTAAGTACCTAGATATGAAGAACATCAGATATTGGTGAATACCATGGATAATGCAAACAAATTTCAGCATCTCAACAGCAAGCTACGTCTCACACAAGTAGGTTTATTCTTCCAAAGGCACAGGACTGACTCACAAATAAAGATCTCAGACATTCTTAGCAGAGTTTATGAATTCAACTAAGCAGGACGGCGAAAATCAATCAAGAACTTTTCCTATTTGTTCCATATGTTCTTCATTTTCTTAAAAATAAATGACAAGAAAATGACAAAAGAACTCATCAGAATTTAAAAAGTCATGGATACACGATGGAGTAGTAACAACTTTTACTTGCTCTACTTGGGCTTCCAGCAATCAGCTCAACTTCTTCTACAAAAACAACTTCAACTGGAGATTACCCAAAAAAAAATCAATTACCAATGTGCATCAATAGCCAATCCTTTTTTAAGTCATCTCCGAGACCAGAAAAAGTGTCATACTTTGTCCTGTCATTCATAAGTAAGTCAATACCCTTCAACAATTGAAATCTATCCAATTCAATTTTAGATAACTCGTCTTCCACCATTTTTGTTGTAACTTTTGAGCATTCTGAATTTAAGTACTTATCCAGTGAATCTGCCATTCGTCCCAACACTTTGTAAAGTACTTGAGAGCTCGTTAGTTTTCTCTTTGTGCCACGATCATTTGTTGAAGATGAAGCTTTTGATTTTGACCGTTGTCGAGCTAGCAGTGCATTCATAACTTCATCTTCTAAAGATCGTGAATCAGTCTCAAATGATTCCTCTACATTAGCAGACTCTTCAACTTCAGTTTCAACATTAGCCTCAAAAACAGTTTGGGCACCCTCTCCATTTGCACGATCTTGTGAAAACAGTGTACAGATATCCTCCCAATTTTCAACCACAATTTTTTTTCTATAAGGAAGAATTTTTGGATTCTCACTTACTCGAGCATTCCATACATCCTCATCACGAACATCAATTCTACCTCTAGAGTAGTCCCATATTATCGCAGACCCAGAGTTACATGACTGGAGCAGTGGGTATAGGATGTCATAGTGTTTCTCCCATGTCTTGAAACGAGATAAAATATTAGCCTTTGTCACAGATATATTGAGCTTATCGAATAAAGCATTCATTACTACGGTGTAGGCTGCTGTCTTCCATGCACATTTACCATCCAATTTGTTTCCTTGGTTCATTTGGTCAATAAAACAGGTGCCCATTACACGATCCATTTCAGGAGTCCAAGTGAAATACCCTTTGCCTTTCCCTTTTGACTGAGATGTTGCTTCAGATGCCATATCTAAGGCAAATATGCACCAGAAAAACATCACAATGTCATGTTCTTAAGAATAGATTCAACAGCCACTGCATTATAGAACTAAAAGTGAGAGGCAAATATGCACCAGAAAAATCCATACATATGTTAAATGAAGAACTTATGATGACTTATTTGGACGGAACCTTTTTGCAAAAGCAATTTGGAGATGTTGCTAAGATCATCACTTATGTGCACAAAATAGTTTGGAGATGTCCTAAACTTATTCTGGTGACTTAAAGCTTCTACTGGTAAGGATTTTCCAGCACACTGCAACAAAAGAAAGAAACAGAAAAGTCCCGACAAAGCTTTCTTTCTAGAAACAAGACTACATTGTGGAGCCTCCGGTTCCAATTTCTGTCACCAATCAAACTGGAAGTCAGTAATGACCCCTGTATTTTGAATTCCATATCCATTCAAGCAGTAGTATGATGTCGTTCATTTTCCCCCAAAAAGAGACCATATATATCAAAGAGCTCAAGTGAACATTGACAGAAAGAGAGATTACTAAATCACTCAAAATGCAGAAGACAAAGGATAAGTCAGTAGAAAGTGGATTTAAGTGCTCAAAGCATGCCAAACATCCAAGCTGCAGGCAAAAATCAAATTTTTACTTAATGACCTTCATGCATATGTGAATTAACAACTTCAAAGAAGTCTCAAGCACCAGTTAAAACATAAAAGACCTTGTTAATTGCTGGTAAAACTATTTTAGCATACATCTATATATCAAACTCTAGTTGAATAACTGCGACAACGTACATACACAGGACTTATCTATTGACTGGAAGCCAAGGTTCTCCAAATTCACTACATTATCTAACATGTACAATAAACGATAACAGTAATCTATGCGTCCTCAGCATCACTCATGCTTGGACGAGTATCAATATAGAATTCTGAGTCCAAACCATCCATGATCCTTCCTCTGTTTACCAACATGTAGATGTACCGGCTTTGTCAAATTGGGCACCAAATTTGACAACATTGTGGAGCCTCCGGTTCCAATTTCTTTCCTTTAATGTTTAAATGGTTGAGGGAGTAATGACAAAATTTCAGTAACCTAATGCCAATTCCTAAAAGTACATGGTAAACTGAATCTGATTTTTTGTATTTTCCACACCTTCTTCCTATCTTCCATTTTGGACCCAAAGCATTTGGTTCGATGTAAGTTTTTAAGTTTATATATGTGACCATGTAACATAAGAAGTTCTCAACAAAATTTTCGATGAGGTAGGCCTCCCTTACAGAATGAAATCATAAAACAGTCTAGTCTAAATGTTAGAAAATACTCTTGTTGCAGGCAGCATAAAAGTGATTTGATCAGTTTCTGGACCAATTTCCTTCTTCTTTTTCTTCCAAGTAAGATAAAATACTAATCTACTCCTCCTCTTACACTCTGTGCATCCAAGTAAGTTATGAAAAACCTAGCGAAGGGCAAACTTACCACCGAAACCATGCACTAATAAACTAAACTTTATGAATGGCAGAGGCAAACATCAAGGCAAGACTCGAGCCATTGAAATCATGCAAGGCCATCAAAAACAAAAATGCCATCCCAGGGACTTCCACCCCATCCAAATTACCAAAGCAGGTAGTAAGTACTGAAGTAAGGTGAGAGGGCCGATTCACTGGTACGATCTGAGAGACATCAAATCACTGGCCATCAGAGCACGAAAGGGGCATAGCCGTTAGAGTCAAAGAAATTCAGAATTCAATATTCAATGCTGCAAAGTTAAAAATCGAAGGCAAAGGAGAGCTTTTAGTTGTTACCTTCCGGACTGAAGAACCCAGTTCGGAGCAGTCTTGCGATTGCTGAAGTGATGGGTAGATGCGTGGCAGAGCGATGCCGGAGACGGTGGTGGAAGAGACAAAATGTTAGGGTGGCGGTGAAGGGGATGACGCACAGAAGAAGCACTTGCGGTTGAGGAAAAGTGACTAATTAGATCGCGAGAGAGGGCTGCTCACATAGTTGACCCGATTTTAATTTTTTACCCATTAGGATCCGCGTACTAACCCGAATAGGAGGTGAAATTATGGAATTGGAATTGTAATTCTTAGGTCTTACCAAAGAATTGAATTTGTGGAATTGATGGCTCGTAGAATTCAAATTGAATTCTAATTCTCTGGCATTGCCGGTGTCCAAACTGAAGAATTGGAATTGGGATCCCAATTCCAATTCTAAACCCCAATTCTATGGGGAACCAAACGAACCCTTAGAGAAAATTTGACGCAAGCCAATCCACGATTTTGTTTAGTTGAGGCTAACCGAGACGGTAATAAACGAGACCAGAACAACTGAGCAAAGCAAAGAGGTTCTGTTTTCCGTACTGTCAAACCCTTTATCCAAAAAGCATGATGAAAATCTTGTCCTCTCAGCCATACTCTACATAAATGCCATCAAGCCCAGCAAAATTAAATCAACAATCCACTGTAAAAAGCAAATGCAAATTGCAAACGATATTGATACATAAAATATGATTCTGAAGAAGATAGGATTTTAATTAACCGATAATGGCTTTTGCCCAGCAGAAGGATGTACAGCTAGACTTCCCTGTGGATACAGTGACTTTCCAGCAACCACAAGTCCTGATTTAAGTTAGATGCCTGTACAACTGTACAACTGAAGTGCCAATAAAGAAGCAAAAGTTTTCCTAGGTTGGATATCAGATTCGATGGAATAGCAAAGATAAACACTAATTAATGACTGCTCTAGAGGAAAATGAGCAGCAAACTTCCTGTCACTAGGAGGATGTTAGCTGGAAAAAGGAACTACTGTTCTTGCCGACTTCCAGCTTCATCTGGAGTAGAAGCATGGTCTCTGCTCCAACCAGGACGGGGAGGCTTTCTGCTGAAATACTTTGCCAGGAAAGCATCAGCCTTGTCAGGATACTTTTTCCTGGCAAAGTTCTCCAGGCTTTTACGATATGAAAAATCTTGCTTGTGGTCATCAGTAGAGACAACATAAAAACACCTACTCTCCTGAAAGCTTGCGTGCTTAGAAACCTGTTAAAAATTCAGAGGTTAGCACCAGTGCAAACCTAAGACTGCCAAAACATTTGGCTAGTGATGGATTTCCAATGATAGCACGAGAATAAATAAGAAAATCGCATGCAGATACATGCAGCAATTGCAGGTCACAAACGACTATAATTCATCGAATAACTTGATGAAATATCAGTTGATGAAATAGGTGATAAGAACAACATCCTTGTATTCACCTATAGTATCCAAACAAAAATAAACATCAATGTCCCTTGATATTCAACCTCTATGGTAAAATCGTTATGGAGAGAGAGAGAGAGAGAGAGATGATAGTAACAATTTAGCATCACAGTTTTTCCAAGGAAAAATGATACATAGAAAATGTTCCAATGCAACAAAACATTCATATAACTAGAACCTCAAAACTCATCAAGTAGTTTTATAAGGTCTGTCATGAACATGGTTCGCAATATCGGCCGATACCAATACGTATCGACCGAGTCATAACCGGAACGGAGGGGACCGTACGATACGGATCCCCGAATCACTCGGTCTAACTCGGCTGATATTAGCCCGATTCGAATCCATGATGCAGGATATCGACCGATATATCCGAGTCACTTGGAGTCGACTTAGATATTTTTTAAAATTGTCTTTTTTCGTATTTTCTAATTTTAGTAATTTTTTCAAAATTTTTGAAAACTTGCATATGCTATAATATGCGTATCACCCGATATTCAATCGATATGCCGTGATAAATGTGGAACAACCAAGACCACGACGCGACCGCGACCGCGACCTGCGATGGCGAACCATGGTCGTGAACTTTATTGCCTACCAATCAAAGCTTCTTAAGGAGGACTCAGAGCAAGAGCTTGAATATTTTCATACTTGTCACAAGGGGCCAGATGTTATTCAAAAGTAGGTGGAGCTCCAATTTGTAATATCCCAAAATGTTCAAGAGATACAGAGAAGCATCTGAAGTTCCCCGCAGCCTGTCCCTTCAAGGTAAGTATAAGAATAGTGGCTCATTCCACTATATATGGCCAAAACCCAAGGGACCATTGGACAGATCCAAGGTCCAATTCTATGCCCAGATTGGCTTTAGGCCAAGAAAAACCATGCATACTTCATGTTGTATGCCTTCTGAAAACCTTTTCTGAAGGTGAGCGCTTTTCTACAATCTAAAGAAATCTATTTTTTCAGATCCTAGCAATTGAGTTGTTTTAAGCCAAATTTTTAAGGGTTAGATCTTGTTACCAGGTGCAGTTCCTTGTAAACCCAATGTGTGATCTTACAATTGACCATTTTTGGTCATGAAGAAGTTCTGTATTCAGTGTTCAAAGTTTGCATGCAAAGTTCATCTACCGCAGCATCATTATTCATCTTTTATACAGAAGAAACCAAAATTCTACTGATATACAAAGGGAAACAAATAAAATGACCTAAAAAGATCTGATTTCCTATAAAGTTTGCAGGTGGTACCATTTCTCTTCTTTGCTATTTCCCCGTCCTTGGACTCTCTATCATCATTATTTTAATTATAAGTCAATAATATACTGTGCCAGTGCCAAATTACTACAGTATGAGTTTGTCCTACTCTTGAAAATTTTCAACCTGAACCATTTTCCCTTGTCAAAATGATAACACCAGAATATGTGAAACTTGCTTAATAAGTATTTAGCATGGTAAAGCCTGTGATATCCAAAACAATATCCTAAAAGCACAAAGATATGGAAGTCCCCTATTCTCGGGTAACAATGAATTATGGCATTGAAATAGCTTAGAGATCATTGTGAAAATCCAGTTCATTAGTTGTGTAACAGAGCTAGTATTGTCGACCTTAACTTTAGTTAAAACTAAATTGTTTTTCTTCGCCAGGGAAACAAGAGTCATAGGTGATGGACAGTTATTAATATATCATGTATTCATCATCCTCAATGTATTTATTTCTGACTTATTATTTGAGACTCCACATTTTGTCTACAGCATCCATCGTTTCCTGGAACTAGGCTCCCAGGAGGACCGTAATCAACTTCACTATTTTTGAAGACTCGCAACTTTTTGTATTCTCTCTTTAGCTTAAATCTGTCCTGCATGCTCAAGAAAGAACTCAAGGATGACAACTGACAGCCCGGGCTACACTTAACTTCAAGTATCATAGATAGGATAAATAAATTAACAAAGATAAATAAGGCAAAACATAAATCCAATAAATGCCTTAGTTGGAAATGGTCCACCAAAAATCATGTTTGCATATCCACTGAAACTTTTAAGATTAGAAGCTTACAAAAGAACCAGCCCAATTAGCCTATAGACAGCTTATTACTATAAGCTTCAGGTTAGAGAAAAGCTAAAGAACCACAAATTACACCCTTAAAAAAGTCAAAAGAAATGGCACAGAACACTCCAAAAAATAAGTTGACTCTTATGTTTAAAGCACGTAATACATGATAAATGATCCCACAATGATCTATGTTATGCAACTGATTCAGGATCTTAGGGCATACCATTATATATTTGATTCCAGCACCAATCTTCAATACTTTCTCTGGATGATAATTGAGGACATTATCTACAACATATGACTGATCATCAGCAGATAGAGGATCACCATCATTGTACCTTCAACCAAAATTTTAGGGTTACAGCAATATGTCAAACGTTTTCACAATCAAGCAATAAAACTAGAAATTAGCATAGAAATTAAAACTTTTTTAGATTACTTATTTGCAAGATAGGGGAATGTAGTTTGCAAATCATGGAACTTGAATAAAACTAAATAAAGGATTTATAGCACATAGGCATACATGAACAAAATGTTGCACACTTTTTGAGCACTTACCTTTATACAAAAACAACCTTTCTTAATCCTGGAAATTCATACACCACTCTTAAAGCTACTTTTTGTATGTCAAATATTAGAAAACTGATTACAGAATTTTCCAGTGTATAATGGTCAACCTCAGTAACAACTCATCTCCTTAATTGGGCATCATTTTTCATTCATAATTTTTTAGTTTCCAGAAAGTAACAGTATATAAAATCCTCAACTGATTATTTTGTCCAAAAATCATAGCAGCTTACCCAGTCTGATGGATTATTCGCCTGATGTTCTGCATCATCTGTTCGAAATCCGAAAGAATGTCCTGTTCCTCTGCTGTGAAAGAATCCAGCCGCTGCTTTGTTAATGTGAAAGTTCCACTTGCACCAACATTGTCAACAGCCTTAGCAGGACGATTTCTTTGGTTTCTCCAATCTCCGTTACTGGGTGAACCCCAACCTCGAGAACTTACATTTCCATTCCCTTTAAACCATTTCCGTGGACCCCTCTGAGAATGTGCATCTTTCTTATTCTCCCACGCGTGTGTGCCAGTAGATTTGTTCCTCTCTCCATCAGTGTCAATTCCAACTGCTCCACCAGATCTCCAAGAACCTTCTTCAGAATTTGTAGGCAAGCTACGTTCACCTTGAACTGCATCAGTGTTCATCTTGGACCAATCACTATAATTTTCTGTAGTGACTGTAACTGGGTCCTTGTTTTCATCTGTCTTATTCTCATTAGAAGACACCTTTGTCCCCCAACCAGATGAAAATCCTAACAGCTTCCCTGTGCTTTCAGATTCCTTTGCACCCCATTTATGATCATTGGAAGTATCTCCTTGCCCACTGTTTAATATTATCTCTTCCTTGTTTGTTTCACCAGATCCCCAACTGGACCAAGTAGGATCACTAACTGTTGCTTGGGAAACAAGCCTTTGGGCTTTGTCAAGTGCCAGCTCCCAACCTCCACTACCACATGAAGCACTCCCGTTTGTAGTTAAAGGTGAATTACTCCCAGCCTCAAACTTCTTCCCCCAACCAAATGAAGATCCCGACTGCTTGGCAGTATCTTGAGATTTTTTGCCCCATTCACCATCACTGGAAGATCTTTCTTGAACCCTCTTAGAAAAGCTATCTCTTTCAACTGGTTCACAATTATTCCAACTGGACCAACCAGGATCCAGTGCTGTTGTTTGGGCCGCATGCCTTTGGTCCTTGTCAAATTTCTGATCCCAACCTCCACTGGCTTTGGCAGTTAAAGGTAAATTCCCCAGAGAATCAATTTTCTTCCAGGCAGGCGAAGATTCTGATTGCTTGCCAGTACTTCGAGGTTCCTTCGCACCCCACTCACCATACTTCGGAGAATTTTTTTGGACGCCGTTAGAGAACCTGGCCTCCTTATCGACTGAACTACTACCCCAACTGGACCAAGCCGAATCTGAGACTTTTTTGCCGGTCCAAACATTTCCAGATTTATCAGCTGCCTGCTCCCAGCTGCTACGGGGTGAATCCCTTTCATTATCAACCATTTCCCCCCACGCAGATGATGATCCTGACTGCTTCAAACTACCAGGTTGTGTAGAATTCCAGTCAGTAAAGCTGCGTGAATCTTCTTTTGCCATCGTGGAGAAGTTGTCCTCCTTGCCTACTGTACCACCACCCCAACTAGCCCAAGCAGAATCTGACACTAGCACGTTGGCACTGGTATTTTGGGCTTTGCTTGCCTTTTCCCAACCACCACCTAGTTCAGCAGTTTGAGGTGAATCCCTCTCCCAACCCAATTCTCTCTGGATGCTCTCCTTGGACCTTGGATTTGCTAAATTGTTTTCAAGCTCATGTCTATCTTCAAAAGTTGGCTGATCAGAGTCGCGAACAGGAGACAAGTCAAAAGTCATAGCTTCATCTTCCAAGTCCAGATTCTCAATTTCTGCTCCAAGACAAGTGGTGTTTGTTTCATCTCCGCCAGAGCTGCCTCTGACCAACTGAAGGAAATCATACACATCGATACCAGCTGGTTGGTTGAGTTCAACCTATGTACTCATAGGTGAACGCATAGACAGCAATTAGCATCTCAAGCAGATAATAAAAACACTGTTGGTGTTCAATATATTTTAAACAAGATTTCCCTTTCGTTTTGACTAACCAAAAGGAAGAGAGAAACATCAATATTTTAGCCTACTGGTACCTAACTTTTAGAAATATTACTCATTGAAAACACAGTTAAAGAACCTTTTAAAACACTTCATAGAACAGGAAAAATTAGCAGTTGACAAACCTTTTTCGTGTCCAAAAGAATATCGAATGGTGATCCTGTACCAACAGCTACATGTTTACCCCAGGAGCAAGACCCTACGACACTTGACAAAGAGTCAACATGGCACTTTTCAGCAGCTCTCTCAAAACACTTCCTTGGAGCCTGGAAAAGTTTTAAATGAAACAAAGAAGGATAAAAGTATAGAAAAGAAAAATCGTCTGCATAAAAGGTAAGTTCTTACAGATAATGTTGCTTCTGTAAAAGGCACTTGCACATCTAGCGATCGTGACAAAGCTTTTATACCTCCAATATTGAAGCCAATTAAGTTACCAGCACATGTCATACTGTTAGCCAGTAACACAAGATGGTCCTTGAGAACACCTTTTGTAACCAGCATTACTGATGTTGATAGGCGCTGTAAATAAACCAAAAGGTTTAGAAATACCAAAAAGAATAAAACGCTAACCCAAAAGGTTAGTACCCTAAGCTATAGAACTTTAGTAGTTGACTATACCTTCACATATTTGATTTCTTAAAGCAAGAAGGTAATGCATCAACAACAGAATGAAGCAAATAAATCACAGTAAGAGTGATTGAAGCGTCTCATCCATCTCAAATTGATTTAAGTCGATTACCATGGAAAATGTGCAAGATCATGGCATACAACTAGCCGTTACATACATGCAAATAAACATTAAAAAGCCAGTATGTCTTCAGCCCATAAAAATGTCAAAACAAGCTCTCTTATTTGTCTATTTCAGCATTTGGATGAGTTAGGACTGCAACATACGTCAATCAATCAGGTGGATATTCATGCAAAACCTCTTTTTTTTTTAAATTCCTTTCAAAAGTCTTACAATCCAAATTTAGTTCATGAAGCAGATCTTATGCTGATCAAATTCTGGAAGCATACACATGTAGAAGTATGACACTTTTTGACAATAGTATGCAGATAAAAAACATGTGAGGTTGAAACACTGAAGCTCCATCGAAGAAATGGAGATTCCTTCAATTCTAATATCCTACAAGCACAAGCTCAATCTCACAATGGGAATATACCCAACAAAAAAACAATCATGAATGAAATCAGAAGACTCTTCACGATGTATAAGAGCTTACATTTAATTTGAAAACAAGAAGTACCAATTTTAACATTACAAGACATTAATAGTTCTTTTTCCTCGTACTCAAACACAATCACACAAGTAAATCCACTGCACCATTAGTTGTCACGTGTTCAAGTTTTCCAGCATTACTTTTAAACAAAGAGGCATGTTTCACATCCATTTATATAATATTTCATAAGAGTTCACAAAATAGATTAAAATGACGGAATCCTCATAGTACCCGAACAGCTTGCTCAAATGCACAAGAAATTCCAAGCAATTCTTGGACTTGCTTGATGGCATATGGAATAGAGCGGTTTGTATCTATCAACTGGGTGACAGGAAGACAGGCATCCATCACAACCCTCCAAGCATCACCAGTCTGCTTCACCGCATCCTTCTCAAGAACAACATCCAAAGCCAGTTCACCCCTTTGGCTCTTGCATTGGCTACTAATCCAAGTTGATGTATCAGGGCTAATCCAGATTATATTAACAGTTGAAACCCTTGGATCACCTGCAATATATGAGCATATCTGGGGTCAAACAAGATCTGAACAGTACCTGCAACCCTTGTATGGGGATACCCTGTATCACATTTAAATTTATTTTCAAAGTTGGCAACAAAATAGAGACACAGATCATGCAGTCTAACACTAAAATAACAGAAATGTGCACAACAAACATAAAAAGAAGAAAATATTGGTACTTGGGAGGCTGCAGAAGATCTGAAGCAGTAGAAAGCACAAGATTTCTAACATTTAACAAGAGAAGGGGGAAGCTGAATTCTAAAACAAATGCGGCCAGTTGGAAATTCCTATATGGAGCTGATCTATGACTTCATAATTAGGTATACTTCATGTACTCGAGTAGATTTTAAGCCAATATAGTAGCTTGTCCAAAAGATTCACTAGTTAGGTTCTGTAATAAAATTGAATTTCAAGGTCTTATAATAGACCAGAGCTAGCTATAATACTGCACTTCAGACAGCAAGATGCTGTCAGATATTTGCCCCCCAACATTTTACATGTATATATCAAGTACTTTTTAATGTCCAAGTGCTATGCCTGAGATCTACTCAGAAGTATAGAGATATTTTAAGAAATGTAGTTCATTCTCTGTGGCGCTTGTGTGCAGACCTTAAGTTCTCTCCCTTTCTTCGCTGAATTTCAGAACTCTCTACATAACAAACTGTGTTCCTGCAGATCAGTGTAAGCACAACAATCTAATATTCCTCCCTTGATTCTGTGTATCATTCTCATGTGTGGCCCTAAGTTCACTATTCTCTTATCCTCCTCCGCTACTTTCCTAATTTCAGAACGTTCTCTACATCTCAAAGTCTGTTTCTCGAAAAAAGAAAAAAAAACTGGGGGACAACCATTAATTATTCCTCCATTCAAACGTCTTCAATTTCAAATTACTGTATCTAAGCCAAAGACTACCAGCATATCAAATTAGCAGTTATCTGAAGCTTAACAGTTCCTCAACTACAGTGGAGATAGCCAGTAAACTAGCCAGTCTGGGTCCTAAACAAAAGATCCTCTACCAAGGCTTCAAATCCCTGAGCAAGAATGTACAAACTCCCAGGTCCAACACAATACCTTTTCTTTGCACTTGTTTTCTGAAAAACACAAACGGTAAAAGAAATTGCTATGCCTTCTTGCGAGACACCAGAAAGAATTGTCTATTCAACACCCTCCTGACTGTTCAACATGATAAGATGCTTGCAGATCCAGAGTCATTACTCTATTACCAAGAGCAAGACAGTAAATCATAGGCCAGTGATTTTCTATCAACCTACCTATTTCAACAGAAACAAGCCATCCAACAAGACACCAGAAAGAATTGTCTATTCAACACCCTCCCGACTGTTCAAAATGATGAGATGCTTACAGATCCAGAGTCATTACTCTATTAGCAAGAGCAAGACAGTAAATCATAGGCCAGTGATTATCTATCAACCTGCCTATTTCAACAGAAACAAGCAATCCAACATACAGTCGTACCAATTAACCTCAGAAATGAGAGATGTTTGGTTTCAGGACTCAAATGCAAGAAAACTTATGAGTACTACAGCGAAAATCAGCAAGTAAAATACCAAACAATACTCATGAGGGTCAATAGAAACATCATCAAATAACCAGTTATTCATCCTCATGGAATTAAATAAATAGCCAGTCCTTACTAGATGTAAGCCGCTTTCCCTTTTGTGCTGCATATCACCCAATTCTTACCACCAAGGATTGAGAATGGGGACATTCTTTGATCTCAAAGTTTACATTGCTTATACTGACTCGAAAAAATGCCTCAAAGAGCAGAACATTCTCACTCTTTTTCTCTAATTTTTACTATACAAGCATTATTGATACTGATGTCTATCAAAAAGTACAGAAGTTAAAGACAGGCATTGTAGCCAAAGAACCAGCTTTTGCTCAAAACATGAATTTGTAGATATATGAGTTAACTACTTGTCTGCAAAATTTCAGATTGATTGGACCTCTGTAGCTTGAGAAATGACTGAATTGCCCTGACTGCCTATAAATCCTGTTTTGCGGACAGTTTTCTGTCCTCTCTAGATTTCGATATTTGACCCTGAAAATTGTATGTTTAACTTTGGAGGTCTTCATAAGAAATGTTGGCATATGCTTTAGCTTGTAACGCCATAAGATTTGTTTCGATCGGATAGGTGTAGCTTTACTTGTGATTAAAATGCCAAAAGGCAATAGAAGCTTGTTAATGTTAGAATTTTCCTTTGCTTGACGTGATATTTGGTTTTAGGATTTCAACTTGATCAAGATAATGAGCTTGCCGAATAAGCTTCGTGAGCCGTGCTTGGTGAGTGTATCATTAAATGGTTCAATGTACCTGTTATATGACTTGAATAGTCGAGGGTGTACTTTACGCTCTTGACCACTTGCTTGGCACTATTGTTACAGTTGGACTGTGAAATTTCATGAATATGTGATTTGATATTGCTAGGGCAATGCCCTATTATTTCTGTGAAAACTGAGCTCATTCCTTGGACCGTTATTTGGTCGAGCCAGCAAGGGCTTGGGCGTCGTTAACGACTTCGGGTCTCTGATAGGCGAGTGGAGTGTTATCTCCTCGACCTTGTGGTATACTCGAGTATTACCTTTTGAAACTATGAGGTGTGCGGGCCGAATAGGGGGTGAATGGTGGAAGGAATTGGTGCGAAGTGTGTCTACAGTTTTGGTTATCCTCAATGGTTGACGGAGTGTCAACGAGTACGATCAAGTATGGACATCGGAAACGGCCCTTGAGGTCGAATGTATCCTTTTATAAATGGATGTTTGAATGAAGGCACTTATGCATATATGTTATTTGGCCGTATCATGTATTTGTGCATTTGGTACCTCACGAGCGCAGCTCACCCCCGTTGCTTTGTTTTCCTTACAGGGACACTGCTGGACTCAAGTTTTGAAATGAGTGGAGCTAGTTATGTAGCTAGTTTTGAGTTGCTCTCGAAAACTTGGAAATTTTGATGTAAATGCATTCAAGTACTTTTGAAGTGTACAATTGAACCTTTCTCATGTATATATGACATGTATATATATATGTCCTTATCAAGTCTTGGATAAACTGCATTATGTGTTTGATGGTTTATGCGAGTACCGTTTCGAACAAAGGAAGAGCTGTATTACGTTATTTGTGTACCTGGATGGTATATATCTTGTACAGTTTGGATTTGAATCCGTTTTGTATAGAGTTGAGCTAGGTGACTGTTTGAATTGGAATGGATGGAATTACACCTTGTACGGTTGTGAATTTGGATCGACTCCTGTGTAATAGCTTGTGGATATGGTTTGTATAATGAATGATTGGACTTGAATGGACGTACGTGTACATTCCGCAACGTTTGTGATATGTAGTTCTTGGAGAATTGATAAATATATTTGAGATTTATATTGTAATTTTTGGAGAACTGTAGTGATTGACGGAGTCCTGGCGAGAGCTGGGCAGGCGGCCCGTTGACACCTCTGGTTCGCCTTAGGGGAAAATGGGGTCGTTACAATTGGTATCAGAGCTTAGGCTTCAGATCTCTGTAGTGTATCCTAAGTTTGAAATTTAGGATGCCTGACTGTGGATTGATTTGAATATTGTGTGAACAAGGATCTATTGTATCTTAGAGGTTAAAGAAATTGATTATTTGGGAGTTTCTTGCTTGGGATTTATATTGAAGGAAATATGGGATGAGAGTTTTGTAGTGAAAGATTGGACGAATTTGAATTGCAATTATACTTGTAAGTGTGGAAAGAATTGAGATAATCATTAGTACTGGCTATGGGGAATAAGAGACCGAGGTTTGCTGGCCAAACTCCACGTATGATGATTTTGAACCAAGATAAAAGAGTATCAAATGAATAAAATGCATTTTCTGCCTGTATACTTCCTAGTTTTATTTGCAAGCGATGATTGGAAATACGATATATATGCTTTAAAAATGTGTAATTTTCCGATTTTGGTAAAAAGGTGAATTTTACTTGAATTTCGAATTCGAAAATTTGTGAATAACTGATGAGCTTATTTGACTTGGTTTCTATTTAACATGTAAGTTAGCAAGCTGTGCTTACTTCTTGGATTTGAACTTGGAACTTGAGACTCTGCTATAGAACCTAAGATTGGTTATTCTTGGAGATGATGGTGCTCTTACTAGTAGCTGGTTTATTGAAGATTTTGAACTTCGAATGGATAACCTTTGGTTTCAGCTTGTGTTATGGAAGTATTGGATCTAATTTCGTAAGGCATGTGATCCGATTGAACTTGGTGCCACTTGGTGACATTGGCACTAATTCTGGAAGTAGTATATGTAAAATATGACTTTGATTTTCGCTGAATACCATACGATCTGAGTCGTGAAGTTCTTAGTTGGAATTCTTGTATTTGAGTACTGACATTTTCTTGAGGAAATGCTCATGAATCTTGGTTGGAACATAGTTTAATTTATGACGATGTGAATGGAAATTATAAGTGAGTTTGAGATAAGTTGTGATGGCATAGGTTAGAGCACAGAAGATTTTGTATTGTACTCACGGCTAAACCGAATAAGGAGAGTGAAATAATGACTTGGACTTGTTCAATAAGTATGTGGCTCGGGTTTTGATAGATTTCGTAGTGGCTAGAATTGTTGAGAAATTTTTAGTTTTGTATCTCTCTTCTAGTATTCCTGTTGGATTAAAGTTGCACCACTTGAGTGGTAAGTGTTGGAATTTGCTATACTTGAACTACTTGGGATTGACTCGAACTACCTGAGATTGGTCTTGAGCTGCCTGAGATCGACTGGATTGAACTTCCTTGAGACTTGACCTCGTTAGGCGAGTGTGTTTATACGTATCCTTGATGGACCTAACTTCACTGAATATATGGTATTGGACCTGTAGGTGGACTTGAATTTCATGACTGCTTAAGAATGTGAATAGTTGGACAGAGGTTAGGCTAGTGTGTTTTACCAGTACTCATGATCCTTGAACTTGAACTTGCACTTGAACCTGAACTTGTACTCTTATTTGTGACCATGCTCCCTGAACCTGCAATAATTGACCTGCTTTTGAACTTCCTCGTACTCATGCACTATGAACCTGAAGTAATTGGCGCTGCTTTGACCCTACTCTTGAATTATTCATACTCATATGGTTGTAGACGGCTACCACTTTTGTAGCGGTTGAACTGAACCTCTCTGGTGAGGCATTGCCTGTTGTGTTGTCCAGCACCGCCATTCTTCAGGCGAGGCATGCCTGTTGTGTTGTCCAGCACCACCAGGGATGGAATTTTGAACTGAGGCCTTTGGTGAAGCATAGCCGTTGAGCTAGCTGTTGTGTTGTCCAGCACCACCAGGGCCAACTTACTAAACTGAAATTCTTTGGTGAAGCATAGCCGTTGTGCTAGCTTGTTGTGTTGACCAGCACCACCAGGGATGAGTTTTTGATTTGCAGCTTCGCTACACCCTGAATTTCTTCCAGATATCTGGGACTATACGTCCTATTTCAAGCCTTTTGCCTGTTTTATCTGGCTACGCGATAACTCCCTATTGGATCATGACTATTCGATAAGTTGGATTGGCGTGTATTTAGTACTTGAAATTGATAAGTGATATTTGATAAGCCATGCTTTACTGGATCATGACTATTTGATAAGCTGGATTTGGATACTCCTTAGTACATGATTTTGATAAGTGAGATTGGAACAATTCTTAGTATTTGACCGACTTTGGGAAGACTAATTGGACCTGGTGAATGCAAGTTGGATTAGATGGAATTCTAATGCTTGAATGGTTTTTGAACGATATCTTGACCAGATGTATATGAGGTAGAATGTCGAGGACGACATTGTTTTAAGGAGGGAGATTGTGACGCCCCGACAAAGGAGGGTTTCCTTTTATACAAGTTTTTGTTGAACGAGCGGAATAGCACCATTTTGAACTTGGAAAAGAAAAGAAAAAATTTTGGAAATGTGAGGGGGGCCAAATCCGGCCGGAAATCCGGCCAGTTTCTGGCCGGATAGCTGGCCGGATTGCCCAGCCGTTTTGAAAAAAAATTGAGGAGCTCTCGGCCTTGAATCCGGCCAAGAATCCGGCCGGAAATCCGGCCAGATTCCGGCCGGATTCTGACGTGGCATGTCGGCCAACAGCTTTGACCAGCTGATTTCTCTGTCTTTTTATACTTTTGCACCCCAAAAATATCTCATTTTGCTTCAGCTCAACCGAGCTCTTTGAGAAAAGAAAAACTCTTCCATTTTCTAGTTTTAATTTCTACCAAAATCTTGAGTTTTCACCAATGATTTTGGACAATACTTCATACAAGGGCTCACTATGGTGGACTAAGGCTCTTGATGGATTGGATTTGGATGGGGTGCTCCATGTTGATAGCTTCTTGAATTTGGGAGGTAAGTT